TTATATAAATATATTAGAATAAAGTTTACTAAATACTTTATTATATATATATATATATATATATATAAGTGAGTCGATTAGATCATCATCTAACCAATATTTTGGTGATAACAATTTATACCCTTGGCAAACGTTGATGTTTCCATTTAATGGTAAGCGGTGCATGCGAGAACTTAGATCGTTGTTAGGGTTAGACTTAAAAAGACTTAATTCTAAGAAATTTCAATCTCGACTTGGCTAGTCATTAGCTTCTACCATGAAATAATGTGAATAGAGAATACTCATGAAAATCTAATTATATACGGCTTAAGCTTTTAGATTGCATTATTATCTATATATTAGTCATGATAAGAGTAAGTGTAGTGCAATACCATTATATCAACTTAAAAATTTATTATTTTGAATCCTCAATCTTTGATAAATAGGCTATTAGAGCGACATATTTTTTATCAAACACCTAACCCTTTAGCTATAATTCAACCTTGTATTTCAATTTAGATCGCAAGCTTAGATTGATGTTAGAGTGGCCTATTTACTCTTAAGAAAATTTGATCGTCATCGTTAGATTTAAAAATGATTAAAACTCGAACTTCTATATAAAATGAGACAAGTTCGATTTATCTTGCTTAAAAAATTTACCCATTATTTTGATAACGATTAGAATAAATAGTTCATAGGCATAAATACATAATAGAATATATCTTATCTATTATTTAACTTCAAGGAATCCAAATATTTTGCTATCGTATAAAAACATGATCCATTGGCACATTGATTTGTGCAAAATCAATTGATTTCTCATTGTTAAAAATTTAAAAACATTTATTTATACAAAAAATACTTTGTTTTATTAATTTAGTTTCAAATAAATAAATACATATCTAAAGTAAAATACATTAATCATAGTTCAATAAATATACTTTTGATTTATGAAGTTATAAACAAATACATACTTTTAAGCCTAAAAATGAATTGACTCACCGAATCATTTACGCATCAGCTTGTGAGCTTAAATGGGTCGAGGTTTTGCCAAATCGAGGCTTAAAATTCGACTCAAACTTGGTTTATTAATCAAAGTGGACGGATTCAAATGAGCGTTACGCAGACGAAGATGGTGCTATCTCGAACATCATTTATTGAAATATGAGTTACATTATTTAGTGGCACGGATATAACGACACATAGAAGGCCAAAGAAAAGATTGATAACTAATTAGCTAAAATTTTTAAAAGATATTAGTTAATTTATTTAGTGATATAGATATGATGACATGTAGAAGACTAATAACATCTCACTATCACTATATGGTTAACTTATCATCACTATATGGTTGATGACTAATTTAATCCTATGAAAATTAGTAAATAAGATCCGACTTAGTTAATTGTCGTACCATTCCATGTTCTTTAGGTTCGACACTACACGATCATATTAAAAATTGAAAGAATTAAGTGCTTAATTATTTTAGGTATTTAACCACGACTTTGAATACAGTAATCCTAAATCTCATTATAAAAAGACTCTTTAAGTATATTCTCTAGAATCAAAATTCTTTCAGTGCACTTGCTTTCAAATAGACTTAACATCTAATCAAATCCTAATCTAACTTAAATATCGAAAAGATTTTATCGTTAACACCCAATATAATATTACAACATAAGTCGGACATCACCTCACTTCATGAAAGAAAACATCCACAGGTAGCAATGGCCGAAGAGAATGCTTCGACATCAAGTTTATTTTATGCTATATATATTGGGGGGGTGTTGATCATATAGAATCCTATAACCCGAGAAACCATCGAACCTCATTGAATCGAATAGTTTTTCTTTCTTTTTCATATTTAGAATGAATCATAAATCTATACCCAATGATGTGTTTGTACTCGAGTTTTCATTTTTGACCTATATGCTCACTGATGTTGATTAATTAAGAATATAAATCAATATACCAAGTCTGGTCTACTATCATGGAATGACATTGATAAAAACTTTAAGATGAATATATGATAGGAAAATAACGATGTGACGAACACCTTATTATTACATGATTAATACTTCCATAATGGCGGACACCTTGATGTCAAGTGATAGAAATAACGATGTGACGAATACCTAAACATTACATGATTAACACTTTGATGTTGATAGCTGACATCTTGGTGCTAAGTGGATCAATACTCCAATGTCAAATAGTTGACATGATGACATTCCTTAATTTACCAGTCACATCATGTCTTTCACATATTTCTCGAATTCGATGTAACATAATTCTAATATGATGAAAGAGTACATAAAAAGGTCACTTTAGGTATATTTTTAAATATTAAAAAAATCTCACTCAATTAGTGCTTTTTGTTTTGCAACTCTTAATGCTTTAACTTATAAGATAAATTAAGTATCATATGGGTTTTGTCAAATATACCTTCAACATAGTTTTGTAAGATTTGACATCTCTTGGGGTCTGATTG